TTTTTCTCCTTACATGAGGTGACATCCTGGTTTCAGTCATTCAACATCATGTGATTAAAAAAATAAATAAAACAAACTCACGTCATACTTTTTATTTTGAGTATCAGTTCAATTTGATCTCAGCTCAGAGTTCTTTACCTGAATTTGGTATTTTATTTAAAAGCCCATCCTTCCTTTGTATAAAAACTGCTCTCAGGCACACTGCGAGTGTTGGGACCCACTGGTGCCGATTATGAAGTCAGTGGCAGTGGTATAACTGCTCCCAAGGTCCTGGCTGCTTCAGGAACTTCTACATTTTATTAAAATGATGATCACATTCAGTCATCTACAGTGTGTAATTATGAATGTATTTTTTACTAGCCTGATGCTTAAGCTTACTTTTCCATTAATAGTAACTCTGTCATCATAATGAGAATAAATGTTGATAATATACCATTTATGTCACCCATGAGCAAAAATTCAGGGACTAAATACACTCACAGTGTAAATGATAAGTATCCTAAAATTTGAAAAATCAATCAGCAGCTAGCAGATTCAGCAGCGGGGGTTCCTGCCCCCTGGGAGGAAGTAAAGATCTGTTTGCAAAGAGTGGACTGGCAGTACTGACGCACAGGGCCCCCAGGCCAGCAAACAGCAGGGGCAAAGCAAACGTGGGGCAGGTTCCAGAGGGCAGGACAAAGGAGCCCTGGTAAGCAGAGAGTGGAATGGGGAAATGAAAGAAAATGACACCTGGCAACCACGCTCAGGTACAAACCTGCATATGAGCTGGGGGTCTTTAGAGGTTAAGTAGCAGAAGCGGATTGTATCCTGAACTAAAAAGGAATTACTGTAACCAGTCAGGAAAGTGAGAGAATCTGGCTCGGAGAAGAGAATGTAACCACAATGGCTCTGGCAAGCTCAACACAAGAAAAACTGGCTAGGTACCAGGATCTTCCCAAGCATTTTTGCTATTCTGAGTAAGTCAGGAGTTAGAGCCCCTCTTGCCCTGGCTCAGGTCACACGCCCATCCCTGGGCCACAGGAGGGCAGAGGACTTAGACTTACTCCTCCACCAAGACAGTAAGCAGTGGTGGAGAGCTCATTACTCCAAAGGAAACCAGGGAGCCAGAGGCACAGAGAAACCGTCTGTCTACTACAAGTACTGAGCCAGGTTCTCTACATTTAATTCTCAAAGCCACCCTACTAGTTTGTACTACTGGCTACATTTTGCTGACGGAAACAATGAGGCTTGGAGAGGTCAGGTGGCCTGCCCAGGAACACAGGGCAGTAAGTGACAAACCTGTACTCAGTCTGCCTGATGTGGGATGCCGTGCGCCCTGGAAGCCACCAGGCTGCAGAGGTGGTAGCAAAGAGAAGCAAGATGGAAGTCCAAATGCCACTAACATTTTACATTTTTTTCAATGGCTACTGCTGGAAAATAATAGAAAAGTCTCTGGAGGTGAATCTAAACCAAAGGAATTATACTTAAAAGAGGTAAAGAAAATTTTAGAACAGATCTATCCTGGTTGTGTCCAATAACTTTTATCTTCAAAATGCATGGTAAGAACAAGTCTATTTCCTCTGATGTCTAGACGGATGGGAAGTTTACAAAAGAAATTCCAAGTGTCATTACTAACAATCCCAAAGAAAAAGGGAAGGACATTCTAGAAGCTCCACTTAGGTGCACAAACTCTGCAGAACTGCTGTTAAAGACAGGGCACTAGGACCCCAGGAAGCAGGCATGACTCTACGCCTGCCCTTCACCCCTGCTCCCTGATGATCATGATGGATCTGTCTACTTAACCCACTGAGAGCTGGGAGCTTGCTGAAGACAGCATGGTGTCTTGTTTGCCTTCATAACCTAGGGCCAGCCTTGGGGTAATATAGAGCTAATGATACTCATAGGTGAAACATCAATGACTTTGCAGTCAAAGAAAGACGAACTCGAAAGACGAACTCAAATCCAGGGAAGTAAATGCATTTGAGGAATATGTCTGCTACAACCTCGGTTATTTGTGGCTCATATCCCAGAACCATCAACCCTACCACTCTTGGGGTAGGGGAAGCCACTGAAAATGGAGAAAGGAAGCTCAAGCTGGGCACTTAGAAGGTACTCAACAAATATGGGCTAAATGAGTTGGTAGCACCTATCTGTCTGTTACCTTCTCCAGGCTCTCCAAACTAAACTTCCCCCCTAAAATTGAGTGCCAGAGAAAAGTGTGCCTCCTCTAAAGAACCCATGTTTCCTTTTATCAGATATCCAGCCCTTCCCACCAGGATGCTCTGAGCTATAGCAGGGCTTTGGTACAAGTTGCTTTCAATCTTGGGTTCCAGAAGTTACATCTATCACTCTTTAAACATTACTCTAAACAGCTGAATCCACTCAATAGACTGTGATTCCATTCAATATTTATGGACTGCCTACCATATGCCAGAGCTGTGTAAGGCAATGAATATACAATTTAAAAGATAATGTTCCCAAGCACCTCAAGGAGCTCCCAGCCTGTGATCTACTACAATATGCTTCAGAAGCAGGTAATTCCAACCACAGGGGACACATTCACTCCCTTCTTCTGCAGTAACTAAGGGTGTATGAGGGTCCCCCTCCCAGCACAATTTCAAACTGCAGTGGCGCATTTCTGTTCTCTATAGCTGGGTTTCCTTCACAGCTCCCTTCATTCATTCTTTTAAACGTGACTTGTATTCTCTTCTGTCAAGTTCACCTTTTGTTTCTTAAATAAGCTCACCCTTCCAGAGCAGAGCAGGATTTTGAGTTTGAGCTCTGGGGCTGGATGCCCTGGGTGATTTGAATCCAGTTCTGCTTCTTACCAGCTGGAAAATCTTAGGCAAGTTACTTAACTTCTCAAAACTCCCTCTGTGAACATTTGTCTCCCTCACAGGATGCTGCTAAGGATTACATAAGTCCATCTATGTAAAAGCCTTACCATGCTGCCTGGAAATAGAAGTACACACCTCACAGCTAGCTGCTAGTACTACAGTGGCGGATATATAATGAGTGTTTTTATACTAATGTTTCTCCCCTGCCAGATTAACCTTTGCCTGCCAGCATTCTCATTCCCTTCTTGTTTTTAAAAGTTAACCCTCACAGAGTGTCAAGAACAATCTTTCTAGCTCCAGTCTTTGGCCCCTGATGCTCCCCAGATACCGAAAGATGTCTTACAGTGTTGACTTTGGGTTCTGAGCTGCCTGGGACGCTGGATTCCAGGTCACCGAGCTTGCATACATAGAATGCAGTGTTTGTGTGCAGGTGGGCAAGGTGGTTTCAATGCTTTGAGAAACACCTAAAATAAGAACATTCAGGAACTCCTTTTTATTGGGATGAATCACAAAAGAGTAATTCAACTGTGAGGTACTTGAAAAGTCATATTATTTAAATTAAAATGTTTCTTCTTTCTTTGCCCTTCTGAAATGGAAAGAGAAGGACATCAACTTCCCCCCCACATATTTTCATTACTCCACTCCAACATGTGTTTACAACTCTTTCTTGTTAAAAGCCAACCCATTAATAAAATGACAAGCCAAGCATCACACACACACACACAAAAAAAAAACATTGTAAAGAGCTCGATTAATGCTAATGTAAAGGGTTCAGCAAAAGTCTTATTGTAATGAAAAGCTAATAATATTCACAGATGAAAGATCACTGACAGAAACTCACTATGCAACCAAACTAAAGAAAAATCAATCTGGGTTAGTCAATTCCATGGAAGAAACATCTCTGCTTCAGCCTCACATCTCAGCCTGTTGACTACAGCCATCAGCTCTGTTGCTCCCGGGGTTAGGGAATCACAGACGCACAAGGAAGGAAACTCAGGCCAGCAAGGGAAATCTCCACTCCCAACCACGGCCCCCTCTGATGTGACAGCTTGACACTTGTCTCGCTGGCAGCTAACAAGAGCAGCAATGCCAGTGGGTCTGACAGTAACTGGCTATACACTTAGATGTGTATACATACACAAACACACGTCTCATAATAAATACCACCCTGTGACCACCATGACATATACACACACCTATATATATTTTATAAACTAGTTACCTAATCGAAAACTTGCCTCTCTGCTTTACCATTGAGTATGGTGATAGTGAATGGTTTATAAAGAATATTTTTATCAGATATCAATGATCTTTGTTATCAAATAACTTTTTAGTACCTATCAAGATCAATATCTGTTCTTTCCTTTGATCTACCAATGAGCTGACTTGATGAATTTCTTAACATTAAGCTAATCCTTGAAATATTAAGTAAATCCTACCTTTATGTGGATTGTTCCTTTCATGTGTGACTGAATTTGATTAATATCTTTCTAGAATTTGTATGCATCTATAAACAAATGAGATGAGTCTATACTATTGTTTCTTACGCTATTTTTGTCAGGTTTTTTTGTATCAAAGTAAAGCACACTTAAACCAAGATACCGAGATAGAGATGTATGTATGGATATACATATATAAATACAGATACAGGTATAGATATAGATAATGATTTAAGGAAATTAAACACCAAAGGGCTTTTGTGCACTTAAAGGGGTTCCTAGGAATCACCATTACACCATCCAGGCTTGCTACCTTCTAGGGAAACAGCCCTTTAATTAGTCCCACAAGTTCTTTGGTGCTCTTCAGGCAATTTGCTTCATCTTCAATTAATTTTGATAATTAACATTATCCTAGAAAATAGTCCATTTCAACCATATTTTCATATTTATCAGCCCCAAGTTGTATGTGATATGCTCTCCTGTTTTTAATACTCTCCAAATCCAAAGGTACATTTGTTTTCTTATTTTTAACATTATATATTTGTGTTTTCTCTGTTATTTCCTGGCAAAATATATACACTATGTCAATTAAATAATGTGTTTCAAAGAACCAGCTCTCACCTCTCTTTATTAAGTGCAATGCTTTGACTGCTTTGCCAACACCTGTTTAGCAGACTGGGCCCAGTTCTGGGAAGCCCCCGAAACAGCCACTATCAGCAGCAAGGGCAGTCTCTTCCAGCCTTACCTCAATGAGCTTTCTTTCATAGGAGCTGGCGAGTTCCTCGGCAACCTCTCCTGGCTTCTGCTCAGTGACTGTGACTTCCCCATCAACGTTCCAAAGGTTTGGTACAACTTTAGGAAAAGAAAGACATTCCATAAATATTTTCACTATGCAACCAAACTAAAATCAAAAACTATTCTTCCAGAAAAAAAATCTCCTTTAACAAAAGGCTTATCCAGTGAAGAAAGCTCTTTTTAAGGGGGAAAAGGATCACTATTACTAATTACTTCAACATGGCAACATTTTCACACAATGCAATAAAGTGAATGATAATGTGTATTTAAAAATGGAAGAACTGTCACAGAGACAGATGCACAGGAGTCTGGGGAATAATCTTGTCACTACTTCCCACTCCAGGGGAAAATAGGCAATGCGTTGACAAGACATAAGAGCCTATACTTGCATCTTTTACGTAGGTCAATTTCTTTTTCTCCAGCGAAAAGCTTTCCAGTGAGGCTGTGCCTGCCTATAGCCCCGGGGGGAAATGGTAGTGGGGGTCAGAGTACAGGCAGAGCCAGAAAGAGTTGGCATTGATAAATTGTACTGACACTGAAAGCAAGGCGGCTTCTGATAAAACCCTGAAACCAGTGCATAATGGCAACTCAAAGACATCTTAAAGAGACTGGCACCCAGGGCAGTGCAGGAATTAGCAGGGTGTTGGGAGATGAAGTTAAGAGAAGAGTAAAGGTCATGGAATTCAGGTTAAGAAGCTTTGACTTCAAGAATAGATGTTAAATGTTTTACAGGCACACTGACATTTGGAAAACAATGTTTTAGGAAGATTAAATGATAAACAGATGAGACCTGGGTCTGTTTTAAGATAAGGTATAGGCTAGTATAGGGTACATTCTCAATAAATATTTGTCCTGTGAGATGAACACACACAGGAAAGATGGAGGGATAACAAAGCCCAGGTATGCTACAATAGAAGCTTGAATTAGGATGTTGGCCTTTATGGAGGTTTGACATTGAAAGTGGGGAAGATAGTCAAACGGTCCAAGGGAGTAGGAGGGTATAGGCACAGACTGAGTCAGTGAAAAACAGGATTTAGTAAATGCTCTTGAACACAATACACTGTGTGTTCTCTAAAGCCAACTGAACAGAGTGGATCCCATCCCAGAGGGCTTTACTATGTGAAATTTAAAAATTTAAAAAAAAAAGCTTCTATTACAAAAATTAGCATGGTAGACACCAATAGGTATTTTTGCTTCTAGGTATGTATCTATATATGCTTAATTTGTAGAGAGCACTAAATAAATAGAAAGAAACTAAAAATAAGCCAGATAATTCCCCAAAAAGTAGAACAAGAGCAGGAAAGAACTGCTGAGCCAACAGTTAAGAAAAGGACTCTGTGGCATGCATTAGGAACACGGATCAGCCGCAAGTCTGAAAACCAGCATCAACCACACAGAGCCCATTTCCTGGATGATCTTGGAGGTGAAACTCCTGGGTGCCCTGTTAAAGTGTGATGAGGAGGTAATGAGGCAAAAGAAGAATCTAAGGTTAGCCCTGTAGTGACAGGGATTTGAGAGACAAGGGGATGGGGTGGAAGGAAGTGGCATGGAGAGAGAAAGTGAAAGTGGGGAAAGGCTGAGCAGAAATGAGGGTCCATGAGCCTGAAATGACCTGTGGCCCCACCTCCAGCTCTTCATTAAGCCTCTGTCAGACCACAACTAGGTAGAACCCACAGAGGCAGCCAAGCCCCAGACAATACAGCACATACTGGAATGAAACCCTAAGCTGTTCCCCCGCTCCAGTAGAGACTACAGGTCCAGCCTCTCCTGCAGGGAGTGACCAAACAATCTGAAGCCTGAAATAGTATTCAGAAAAAATTCAAAGAACTTCCAATTAAAGTTGACAGACTCGATACTAATTTGCATTCACATCCTCTCAGAATCCCATTAAAATACCAATTTATAAAATCCTTTCTGAAGGCCTCAACCTTAATGAAAAAGAGAATGAGAGAAGAAACAAGACAATACAATTTTAGAAACTAAGGAGCAGGTAGATAACTGGTAAGTAACTTGCCAGACCTGAGAAAATTTTATTCTTAGCTGAAGGTAGGCAACACCAAACACCGTATGATTAAAATGGAACAACTTGCAAAAAGCTCATCGACTGCTGATACAAGTCACTTCTGGAGGTGGGAATGAACATGGGGGGCTAAGAAGCAATTTAAAAGAAGACTAAGGATTCATTCTCTGGAAAAGGTGTAACAGTGGTTTGAACTGACTTGAAGGCAAAAACAGAGAGGAAAAAAATAAAACACACTGAAATTTTGAGATTCTTCCATCTTCTTCCCACCCTTGTCTTCCATTTTCAGAAAAACAATAGCCAACCTATACCTCTAAGCAAGGGAATAGAAAGTATTTTCCTGTGAATCTAACTGAAGAGAAAAGACCCGAAGAGACCACTTTGGGGTAGAAGGGGTTTCTCCAGTGAAATAGCAGAGCCAGATCATCCCACCAAGAAATGATCACAGAGTCTTAAATCAGCTTCTTATTACCCCACTCCTGCCTCTGAGTAGACAGCCAGAAATCACCTTCATTTGAGACAAGCACCTTAAATGGAAAAATAGCGGCCAGAATAAACAGAGAAAATAACTTGTAGGAAAGAGACACAGTTTAGGGAGAAGTATACTTCAAAAGCAAATGATCAGTAATATTCCCAGAGAGAGAGGAGAAGATGGTGTAGTTGAGAAACAATAATAGGGAAATACTTTAAAAGGAGAAAAAAATGGCACAGAGAGAGCAAAGAAGCTCTTTTGGAGAGTGAAACTGTGATGGCCAAAATGGAACACTAGATATAAAGACCAGGAGGTAAGAAAATTTCCAGAAAATAGAGCCAAAGGATACCAAAGTGAAAACTGGAAATGAAATGAAGAGTTACCACATGAGAAGAGTTCAAAAGGAGGTGGAGGAGACAACACAGACAGGATGAAAACAAAGATCTAATTCCAGAAATGTCCCAGAAGCAAGAGACACGAGTGCTGAGGCAGAGGAGCCCCACGAGCAGCCAGCATGGCAGGGAGCTGTGCTCTGCCACCTCACACTGAAGCCTTAGAACGTGGGGACAAAGAGAAGAGGGCACAAACTTCCAGACCAGAAGCAGAATTTTGCAGATTAGAAAAGGAGGGAAAAGTAGAAAAGGCAGTGGATTTCTAAATGGCAATACTGTAGACTCAAAAACAATGAGTGACACCATCAACATACTCTAGGGAATGATTTCCAAGCTAGAATGATACACCAAGCCAAACCATATGAGAATTAGGTGAAGACATTTGCAGACATGCAACCTCTCAAAAATTTGACCTCCTAACAAAAAAAAGAGAAAAGAAATCTAGTTAAAGAAAAACAGATTCCAAGAAATAGGGGTTCCAACACATGAGTGAGAAAATCATTCATAACCACCAAAACATGACAACAACACACCATGGCCATCGCAGATGGATAGAGAAAATGTGGTCTATCCATACAATGGAATAGTATTCAGCCATGAAAAGGGTCGAAGTACTAATACATGCTACAACACAGGTGAACCTTGAAAGCATCATGCTAAGTGAAAGAAGAGACACAAGAAGCCTCGTATTTCATGACTCCATTGATACAAAATGTCCAGAACAAGCGTTGGTTTCCAGGGACTGGGAGAACAAAGGGACGGGGGGTGGGGGGTGATCACTAATGAGTAGATAGGGTTTTTTGGGGGGCTGATAAAAATGTTTTGAAATTAGAGTATGGTGACGGTTGCACAATCTTGTGAACATATGAGTTGAGTACCCGTGTGGTGCGTGAGTCACATCTCCCTCAGGAAGGAGGACCAGCAGCGGCACCTGCAGCAACAGCAGTGGTGGGTTGAGGGGAAGCGGGCACAGTGCAGTCAGGCTTCGTCTAGCTGCAGCGGGGCAGCAGACTGTAGGAGACACTGCTTCAGGACGAAACCAACAGCGCCTCTTTTTTTAATGCACTGAGGAAATTTCCACAACTAAGAGAGCATCTGGTGTTGAATTTGTACTAAGTACATACAACACCAACCAAATTAAAATTAAAAGGTAAGTATTAACTCAAATGAAATTAAAAAGTTGCGTGAAAATAATGATTATGTATCTCACGGCTTAGCTAGATAGCATTTTCAGAATCATAATAATGTATCATGGACCAGGGAGGGATTAAGCCAAAAGGATTATATGCCTGTACTGGAGGATGTGTGTGTGTGTTGTGGGGGTGGAAGGATCAAAGAAAGCTAACCGTCATCTTCCACAGTGGGAAATCGGTAAATAACACCTACAATGGAGAAATCAACAAGTGGCAAAGGAAACATGCTATGCAGAGGTATTAAGGCAACTGCCAAAAGAATCAGTTACAAAGTTGAAAGCAGTTGCCTGTGGGGAGTGGGAAATGGGGGAGGGTGATGTCTAGGAGCATCAGGTATTTTATAATAAAGTCTTTTATAATAAATTATACATATAAGTTTGACTTTTAAAAAGCTAACTAAATTTTATTTTAAATTAAAAACAGAATTTAAAAGGAGGCAACACTTAGAAATGAGACTTAGAAAAGTTAGGCAAGGCAACAGCAGTGCCCAACAGCAGAGGGCAGCACCCCCATCACGGAGATGGACACGCTGGTCAGCAAACCCTGGTGCTAGTGCACACCCAAGGTGTAACAGACGGGTCACAGCACAGTCTGGCTGTGCTGTCCATGTGCTGTCCATGATCCTCGCCTGACGTAGGTTTCTTTGCTCCACAAGAGATCCAGTGGATAGATCAGAAAGACATGGCCATCCAATCTGCTTGATATCTGCACATCTCTTTAGAAATCAAGCCACAGGCCTTCTGTCCTCAGGCCCCAGGCCTCTGTGGGCATATTTAAGAGAAATCAGCAATCTGCACTGAAGAAATCAGATTTTTAGCCTTCACAACTGGGGGACCGACCTTGGACAGTCATGAATTTAGAAAGTCTCTTAGAAACTAGTCAGTCAACCTTCCCCTGCAACTCTCTGGTCCCCTGCTGCCTTGGTTCAACTCCTGAAGCTTTACTAAGCACATCAGAAAGTTCTGTTCCACATATAACAC